TTATTTCCCAGCCACTCGTGTAATGTAAGTCATTCTGTCTTATTTTTTTTTAAATCCTCCTATTGTGCAAATGGAACAGAAGATGAAATTCTTTACTGGCCTGAACTGCGTCAGCTTCTGACAATCTATACAGTTACTTTCTCGACGTCAAGGTGGAAGAAATGATACGTTGTTAAATAATAAAAAAAACAGCCTAAAAGCACCGTTAGCATAAAGGAAGATAAAAGTATCGTGAATAAAATGCAGGTAAATGCCGACGGGGAAAATGTTCACACCTGCCTATCTTTCGCAGATAAGATATCCTAAATCATTTTTTCATTCAGAATGGTGAATAATAAGCGTCTCCCTTAATTCAAGCAACGTTTCGACAAGTGTTCTTGAGCAGTCGAAATTGCCTCTGGAAACTGTTTGAACTGGTGACCCCATTGCTATATTACATCCCATAATAAGTTCACCCAGACAGCAATAAGTAATCAGAAAAATATCTAGGATGTCTCAAAGAAACTGAATTCAATAATTCTTTATTCATATAAGGGAAGCAATCCTGAGAGAATTAAGAGTCTTACCAGTAATCTTTATTGCCGGCCACAATCTTATCAAAATTAAATATTTGTCTATATCCCTGAGATGATGCATCATGATTACTTATATTATTTACACTATTCAGACTGTTATCCTCATCTTCATTTCCATATTCATAACGTTTCGGACTCTATATCTCTGAGATGAGATATTATTATTACTTATACTATTTACATTTTTGGAACTGTTATCCTCATTTTCATTGTCATATTCATAAGATGTCGGCCTCTATATCTCTGAGATGAGGTATTATTATTACTTATAATATTTACATTATTCGAACTGTTATCCTCATCTTCATTGTCATCTTTACAACGTTTCGGCCTCTATATCTCTGAGATGAGGTATTATTATTACTTATATTATTTACATTATTAGGACTGTTATCGCCATCTTCATTGCCATACTCACAACGTTTCGGTCATTGTGCGCTCTGCTCTTCTTCAGGCGATTGGAATTTCGAACTGAACCCTTTAATTCGAGGTAGATTGTTCTAGTTCCACGCGTTAATTTCTCTGATAGTAACAGAAAATTGGAATATGAGCACTGGTAAAAACTGAGTGCTGAGACATTAGGTTTAAAAGTCCCAGAAATTCATCCAGAGATGAAGAACACATGGCCCGGTGGATAAGGCACTGGTTAGATCCAGTCACGAAATACAATCAGTTGTGTGTTCAATACCAGGCTACAGCAGTGGTGAACCAAAAGTTGGGGAGTTGAGTTAAAGGGAAATAACTGATATATTCGAAAGAGGCCTGACACGTGGAACTGGAACAATATATTTTCGTTTCGAAATTCCAATGACAGAGGATAATCTAAGTAACATTAAATATAGTATTGATAGTAGGCGCAAATAGAGAACTGGAGTTACTAATAGAATATTGTGAACACACGAAAAATCCGCAGCGAAAGATGTCTTCCACAAGCTAAGCAAAGTATTAAGAAACAGCAAAATTTCGTTAGAAACAACGAAACGTGTATTAAAATGTTGCTTAATGTTAGTTCTCCCATATCACAGTGTATGCTGGACCGTCTCCCCTCACAGATGAAGACGAGGCTTGAGGCAAGAGAAATGTAGTTCTGGGAATACTATTGACTTAACATGTGAGTAGCGGCAAAGTTTTAAAGAAAAGAGTAATAAAAAGGAGACTTATACGAAACATCAAGAAGATACAGTTGAAATTTCTCTGAGCAGAAGTTTTATAATCTGGGAAGATTTTTTAACAGAAGAAGGGGAGAGCGACACTGAAGACGTATTGATATAGTCAATGAGGCATTTCAAAAGCTAAGCAGAGTAATAAGATATAGGAAAATATCAATTTAAACAAGCAAAAGAGTCATAAACATCAATGTGATATTTCTCTTCTTGTATTGCAGTGAATATTCGTTTCGTTTCGTTTCGTTTGTTTTACAGCCTCAATGGCTTATTTAATGCCGACAAAATTTTTATTACTGGTAATATTTTTACCAAAAATTTATTGTTGGTAATATTTTTTTCAAAATTGTATTGCTGGTAATTTTTCTTTTTCAAAAATTTATTGCTGTTATTATTTTTTTCTTTTCAAAAATGTATTGCTAGTGAATTTTTTTTTTTTTTTTTTTTTTAAATGTATTGTTGCTAATTTTTTTCACAAAAAATTATTGTTGATAATAATATTTTTCCCCAAAATGTATTGCTTGGAATATTTTTTTCAAAAATGTATTACTGCTAATATTTTTTTCTTTTTCAAAAATGTACTGCTGGTAATAATTTTTCCAAAAATTTATTACTGGTATTAAAACCTATTTTTCCACTATCATAATGTTTTGGCCCCTTTTGTGCGATTAACTATTTACCCATAGCTGGGACCCAGACAGGTTCTACCACCGTTGGTCAGGGTGGACCTGGGAACACCAGCAATTAAGAGGTGGTTTCACACTCCTCAAAACCTCGTGATCAGAGGCCTTACTGCCGGCTGTAGTTTATCGTCTTACCAAGGACACTGGTGTAGCTTATCATCATACCCAGGACGGAAATTTATCTGGTCGAGACACTAACGAAAAAAACGTCTTCTAAACAGTGCTCATTGAAATATCTGTAGAAAAGACAGGCGAATTCCATGTCACGACGTTGAGAGAGTGGCTCTTTAATATTTACTAGGCCCACATCCTGAATTTTTAATGATGTATTCAGGGTCATCACTGCTTTCATTACAGTTGCAGCTGATAATTTCTATTTTTGGAAAGGTAAATTGCGAGTTTTATTTTTTGGATGCTAGACTAATCAGTCTGTAGAAAATGTTTTCCTTTAGATTAAAAGAACTTCGGATGTCAGACCTTTAAACTCTAGACTAGAACCATAAAAGCAAATAATAAAACTGAAAAAAAAAAGGTTTTGATGAAATTTATGTCGGATTAACAACAGTCTGTATTTATCATTTCTATCAGCTGGGTGTATTGATAGAAACGAAAACAAATTTTAAATGAGAGTAGAAGGTCTACGTCAAATGTCGTCTGCAATAAACGAACGTCTTTCTATCAGGCTTAAACGAAATATATACAAGTGAAAGAAAGCTTCATAATCAAATGGACACTCGAGAAGTTTTGAGATTTTTTTCAGGACAGACAGAAATTGTTTTCCATCTTGTGGTATTAGACGTAGCTAACAGGAGGAAGTTACTTTTATGTTCAATTCCATTATGTTGTTATTCTTTTTCTCCTTCTCCTTCTCCTCCTCCTTCTCCTCATTTTACTCCTTCTTCTTCTTCTTCTTCCTCTTCTTCTTCTTCTTCTTCTTCTTCCCCCTTCGCATTCACTTCAGCCCCCTTCTCCTCCTCCTTCTTCTTTTCGTTCTTCTTCTTATCCTCCTCCTCTTCAGCCCCCTTCTCATTCTTCTTCTTCTTCTTCTTCTTCTTCTTCTTCTTCTCTTTTCTTCTTCTTCCTTTTCTTCTTTTTATTCTTCTCCACCTCTTTATTCTTCTTCTGCTCCTCCACCTTCTCCTTCTTCTTCTTTTTCCTCTTCTTCTCCTCCTCTTTCTCCTTCTTCAGTTTCTTTTTCCTCTTCTTCTCCTCCTCCTCCGTCTTTTTCTTCGTCTTCTTCTCGTCTTTCCTCTTCTTCTCCTCCTTCTGCATCTTCATGTGCGCTGTCCCTACAGGACGTAGCCAATCATGGCTCTTCGCAATTTCTTGTCCTTTGTAGCTGTTAATATTGTTTTCCTTTTGTTATTTCACCTGGAAAGTTCAGAAACAATTCTATGCGCTGTTTTCCTCTTGTTTTCATCTGTCCTGTGAGTATCAGATTTACCAAGCCTTCTACCCTCATTATATGCCTAAAAATTTCAAAATTGATTTATTTTTATGTTTTGAAGATTGAGAGCTGCTTTTCTAAAGCTCGCATAAAATAAAAATTATTACCTATGGAATTTTAAGTGTTTGATATTCTTTAATTAATTATATATATATATATATATATATATATATATATATATATATATATATTGGAAATCAACAGAAAGTGCAATTGCATTAAAGTTTTATATGTTCGTTTTTTAGGTGTATGTGAAAATGAACAATGGTATTTCACCTAGATTAAATTTCTTACACGCTTTCGCCCAATCTACTCACACACACACAAACATATATGTACACACGAACAGACACACACTCACATATATATATATATATATATATATATATATATATATATATATATATATATATATATATATATATATATCCATACCCACATACATTGCAATAAATATGTTGGTATATATGTCCGTTTGCTTTTTTCTCCTTCGAATATTTATATCTACATAAGGTGAATACCCTCACACACACACATAGATATATATATATATATATATATATATATATATATATATATATATATATATATATATATACATATATAATATATATATATATTCCATATATATATATGCTATATTTATCTGCAATATATATGTATACACCTAATATATATATATATAATTATATATATATATACATATATATATATATATATATACATACACATACAGACACACAGATATATATATATATATATATATATATATATATATATATATATATATATATTATACTTCTGAATGTTGACACTAGGAAAAGCCACAGAGTTGGAATAGAATTAATGTTTCTTTGCAATTATGTACGCATCAACAGGTTGATTCGCTTTTCCAAACCGAACTGCTAGAGAAATAGTAAAAGAAAACAGTCTTAAAAAAAATCTGTCAGTTTTCCCCAGGGGCAGTCACACTGTATACACATCCGATTGTTTTTTTTTTTTGTTTTTTGTTTTTTTCGTTTTCTTTCTGAGAAGCTAATCTCAAAAATCGACCGCTTCAATTCAGTCACATCGACTCAAAGAACGGTGCAATTCTTGCTCAAATTCACATACTGATGCCCTACCTAGATATTTACAAGTGGCGCTCGGAGATAGATAAACGTAGCCGTGTGAATACGAATAAAACGAGATAGATAGATGGGAAAACGAGGGTGGGGGGGGGAGACAGAAAGAGAGAAAGAATTTGGGTGAATGTAGATAGATTGATGTAGACAATAAAGAGTTGGGATGCAAATAAAAGGAGACAGATGTGAAGTGAGAGAGGTAAAGGGAAGTTAGATAAACTTAGGCAGTCAGAAAAATATGTGTAGAGGGTGTGAATGTAAATTAAATATGAAGAGTGAGGGAGTGTATGGATAAAGTGGCAGAGATAGATAGATAGATAGATAGATAGATAGGAACAGATTGATAAAGATAGATAGATAGATAGATAGATAGATAGATAGACAGGAACAGATTGAGATAGATAGATAGATAGATAGATAGATAGATAGATAGATAGATAGATAGGAACAGATTGATATAGATAGATAGTTAGATAGATAGATAGATAGGAACAGATTGATATAGATAGATAGATAGATAGATAGATAGGAATATACTGAGATAGATAGATAGATAGATTGATAGATAGATAGATAGATAGATAGATAGATAGGAACAGATTGAGATAGATAGATAGATAGATAGGAACATACTGAGATAGATAGATAGATAGATAGATAGATAGATAAAATATAGACAGCGATAGATGGATAAATACATAGATATGAACAGAATGAAATATATAGGTAGATAGATCCTAAACTAATCCATACTTTTCGTGCTAATGTTAATATTAAAATATTAGCTGTTTCCTTATAAGGAAACATAGCGCATTCATTGACCGAACAGACAGTGTTTTTTTCCATTGAAATGTATAAGATATTTTCCTTAAAACAATTTCTCAGCAAAAACATTCTCAAGACCAACGACTGTGAAAGATCAATTGAACAAGGATCATTTTTGAATACATTTGATTACTTTCGACTGTCAGACGTTGTCGAAAGTACGCGAGAGAATAAAAGATTAATCGACAGACCTTGTCGCTGTTATTTAATAAAAACCAGTTTGGATTAATTCTTGCTGTCCAAATAATATATATATATATATATATATATATATATATATGTGTGTGTGTGTGTGTGTGTGTGTGTGTGTGTGTGTGTCTGTGTGTCTCTGTCTGTACCCGTGTGCGATGGATGAATTGTCGTCTAAATTACGCAAAAATGAAAATAACACTGACATCTCATTTGAACAGATATATATACCAACATTGCACAAAAATATCTTGAAATATTAAAGAGTAAATTTATTCGAAATCATCGCCATTGGCTTCAACCACGACCTCCAGATGGCTTCGGAACTGCAACTCCTCTGGACTGTCTCCTTGTTGTTGAATGCTGCCATAATCCTTGCCTATATTTCATCTTTGGTGTTACATGGACTTTTGTTGATCTCTCGTTCAACTACGCCCTACACATAAGAATTAAGTGTGTTGCAGACTGAGGAGTTAGGGAACCAGATGTAAGTGTTGATGTGGTCGCAGAAATTGTCTGACAGCCATGAGTGGGTCCTCCTGTTGTTGTGATAGGGTCCTGTTGACAGACATAGGATCTTCCAGCAGCCACACTCTTGAACCGGGGCATCACTAACTTCTCCAGACAAGATGTAGACCTCCGTGTTGAGTCTGAGACCCTGGTGGAAGATAAATGAATCACTAGTGATCCCTCCAAATACCATGATGTTGAACGGATATATCATGCAACTCCTTCTGAATCCTCTGTTCTGTCCTAAGATTGACATCCAAGAACTCTGAAATGTTCGTATTGGAGTTTCTGGTGTGAATGCCAAGCAAATTTCTGGCAAAGTGAATTGCGTCAAGGTGATCTTTTCCTCACAGAGAGGAACCCAATTGATCCTGCTATACCGTGCAGTCGAAAACATCAAGACAACAAACGCAGTTTCGCGAAATTAAATATATAAAATGGCGACAATGTATATATTTATATATGGATATATACGATATTATGTATATTCATATATATATATATATATATATATATATATATATATATATATATATATATTCACTATATATATATATATTCACTATGTGTATATATATATATATATATAAATATTAACTATATATATATATATATTCACTAACATATATTTATATATATATGTATTCACTAACACATATATATACATGTACATATATATATGCATATATACATATATATATATATTCACTAACATATATATATATATATTCACTTTTATATATATATATATACACATATATAATTACTAGCATATAAATATTCCTAATATATATATATATTAACTAACATATATATATATATTCACTAATATATATATATATATATATATTCACCAATATATATTTAAATAAATATATATTCACTAACATATATATATATATATATATATATATATACTATATGTGCAATGCTTAGTGAAAAGTACTCAATGAGTATATAATATATATATATATATATATATATATATATTATAAATTAATTGATTTAAAATATGTTTTTTTTCGCTACACAGTTCTAACCATGTTTAAAAAATGAAGCTAAAAGCCACGAATTTAATTTTGTGATTAAATTAAAGAAATTAGTTCCATTTCACCCTCAAGAATTCGCTTGAGGATGAAATGGAACTAATGTCTTTTTTTGAAATATGGTTAGAAATGTGTAGCGAAAAAACCATATTTTAAATCAATTAATTTATAATATTAATGCTCTGTAAATTTACATTCAGCACTATTTTGTAAAAATAAAAATATCTATAAGAACACCGGACTATATATCTTGCTGTTATATATATATATATTTTTTATTGTCTGAATAAAATGTTATAGAAAACAGTTACAAACGAATCATGTATCCAGTAATTGTACGTCTTTTCATGCTCATTAAATATATCTTATATGCACATTAATTATTTGTAGTGATTTTCCAAGACCAAAAGCATGGAACACCCAGTGAGGATCGAACTCACTACTAAGTCGCAACTGTTCTGACGAAACAAGCTTGCTAACCATTATACCACGTCGAGGTGCCCTAAATGATTTTCTGAGTATAGCTTAGATGTGGCGCAAGGCTGAAAGTATGGGGCACCCAATGAGGATCGAACTCACTGCTCAGTTGTAAATGTCCTAGCGAGACAAGCTTCCTTAGCATTACACCGCCTCGAGGTGCCGCACATTAATTATTTGTATATCGATATCAAGGTCCTTTAGGAGATTGTATCTCTGATTAAAATACGACGTGGCTAACAAAAAGATTCATATTTCATTTCGCTTAACATAACTCAATATATCATCACTTAAAGTAACACTCGTGCGCACAATCTCACATTAGACGGATATTAGTTGAAAATACATTTTATTACATAGAAACAATAATAAGCCAAAGGTAAAGATCATTGAAGCCCTTTATAGATTTCTTTAAATGCTTAAAAAGAAAAAAATGTAATACGTATGAGAAAACAAAAAAAATATATGCATATGAGCAAAAATATAAAAGTTACTTCACTCATACTGGAAAAAAACCCCAAAAGAACACTTTTTAACCTTCATTATAGAACGCTGCATAAACAGTAAAAAAAAAATACGTATATATAAAGTGGTATATAATAATGGTAAACATGGCCCTTTCTGAGGGACAAAAGATAGAGGAGGAAGACGCTACGCCATGAAGCCTAGGACGAACTTTAAGCTGCAGCTATATGCGACCATGTATGCCTATCCCACATTAGACGTATCAGTCACAAAGTTGTTTGCAATCGACGTGAACAGAATCCCTCTTGGCCTTTTGCCAATACAAACCATGATGATGATGATGATATATATATATATATATATATATATATATATATATATATATATATATATATATCGTAAATTGTGACGGACAATTCAGCGTTAAGCTATTTAGCTCAAAATTATGATTTAGGTTTATATCTATTTAAGGGCCTTCAAAAATTTAAATGACTGTTCTATCCTCGCACCCTAATGATTTATCGTGTCCTTCCATGCACAATAAGCACTTATGTCTTAGAGGCTTTATTGCCTTTCATGGAGTGAAAACCGTTAAGTTTAGTGCCTAATATAACTTATATCACTAAGTCATTACTATCTCAAAATATTCTAACAATATAAAAATATTTTCAAGCTTTAAATAACAAATACATACTCACAGATAACTTAACACCTTAAAGATGGTCCCAGATGAGATTGAAAGTACTTGGGAAAATAAAAACTATTCGAAAGAAAATTTTTGTATTTTTCTTATTCAATTTTCTAAGGCCACCCAAAAATAAATCCACAAACTTGAAAGGACAACAATGAAAACTAATCGATATGATACGTGTAAATTATTGAAGCAAATCTGTTTGAATTAATTATTTTATCTACAATTTGATATACCATCTCTTGTGGAGAAAGATGTTTTATTTAACGATAGTTGTTACTTTTGTATTGCAAGGGCTTGTAGCATTTTGAGGCTTACTGGTTTTCGTACGCTTACCGGTTAAGCATCGTCGAGCCTAATATGTAACTAGATGGGTGACCACTTATATATACCAGGTATTGTTAAAATTCGAAGTCCGGATAGTCTAATGGATAACGACTCCAATTTGGAAATCGGAGATTCGAATTACAACCGGGTTTCTTCTAATAACGCTTGGGAAAGGTACCCATCCACCTCTTCTCCCCCAGCTATGTTTGAATTGGTAAAACTTGTATCACTAAGTCATTATTATCGCAAAAAATTCTAACAATATAAAAATATTTTCAGGCTTTAAATAACATGTAAACAGTCAATGAGCCGTCCCTATATTTCCTTATCTCTATCTATAAAAGGCAGGATGTGTGTCTGTGTGTGTGTGTGTGTAACGAATGCACGGCCGCAATTTTCCACGGATTTGCACCAAAATTTACATGCACATGCTCCAAGTTAGTGGTAAGGCCAAGACCGACGTTGCGTTTCCCAACTTCCATCGATAGAGGAAATAATCGATTTTTTCATGCTTCTACGGCAGTTTTCATGTAGTTTGCGGACATTTTCTACTGGTCAGAGTAAGAACCTATAGCTGGCTGCCATGAATAGGCAGGAAGATTCTATTGGCCAGCGTGAGAGCCAACAGCTGACTGACACGAATGTTAGCTAGCATGCAAAAAAAAAAATATCGATAGCTGCATTCGTCACAAGTGGGAAAAATTTAAATTTGCATGGGACTTTCTGCAATTGGCTCATTCGCTTTTTAAACTCAACGTTGATTCTGATTCCGCAGAACTGGGTTGGATGTGAAAAGCATTTGTTGTTAACATTCTTTTTCATTGAGTTTTTCCAGTTACGTATCCTTTTTAAAGCTGATCGTTTTTGTGTTCATTTTGTTTAGTTCTTTTTTTTTGCGATTGCTGTATGAGTCATACGATTTTTGAATCAAGCACGGGCAACGCCAGGCCATGCTGCTAGTATTTTATAAAAATAAAGTTTAATGCGGAATTTCAATTATTAGGTGCTGTAACCTAGAAAGGGTTAATGAATGAGTAAGAACCAAAATGGAGGTCTAAAATGAAATGGTAATCTTTATAACATCAGCAAAATAAAATACTCACCAGCGGCGTGAAGTAGGTAAACCACTGCTAGCGGTTGACTACTTAGATAGCATATTAACCCCATTTACAATAGTCTCCAACGTACTTATGAGGATTGGGAGATACCCATTAGTATTCATAGGTACGGTATATAGCAGCCCACTTTTTAGATTTACCCTGCAAACAGTCAACCGTTTTTCCTTTTTGAATTAATGTCATTTGTCTCTCTATTCCTTCTTTTCCTCTTATTTTGTCTTTTTCTTTTTTTGAGGGGGGGGGGTCGTAAATGAAACTTTATTATCATTATGTTAAGTGTTGTAACCTAGAAAGGGTCACTGTGTGAGGAATAAACAAAACGTAGGTTTGAAATAAAATGGTGATCGTTATAACATCAACAAAATTGAATACTCGCCAGCGGCGTGAAATAGGTAAACCACTGCTAGTGGTGGACTACTTATACAGCATATTACCCTCAAATTAAAATAGTGTCCAACGTATTTATAAAGATTGGAACATACACTTTAGTGAATGTAGGTAAGGATAGATAGATAGATAGATAGATAGATAGATAGATATGTTGTAACCTGGGAAAAGTTACAGAATGAGAAATAATCAAAATGGAGGTTGGAAATGAAATGGTAATCTTTATAACATCAACAAAATACACAACTCTCCAGGCACATGAAGTACAGCTAATGGTGGACTACGTAGACAGCATATTACTCCCCAACACACACACACTTACAATAGTGTCCAACGTATTTATGAGGATTGGGACATACGCATTAGTGTTCATAGGTAAGGTAAATAACAATATTAGCGTAATGAAAACGGAGGTTGGAAATGAAATGGTAATTTTTCTAACACTAACAAAATAGAATAATCGCCAGCGGCGTGAAGTAGGTACACCACTACTAGTGTTGGACTACGTAGACAGTATATTACTCCCTCCTCCCCACAGACACACTTACAATAGTGTCCAACGTATTTGTGATGATTGGGACATACCCATTAGTGTTCATCGGGACAGTATATAACATTAGTATTCGTGATTTAGTAAACAAAATTGTTATTTTTTTTTTATGTCGGGTGGATTTTTAGGAGCTGAATTCTTGGCCCTGACTGTGTCTTAAAATAATAAATAATGACAAGTGGAAGAGGAAAAATAAAGATAGATAAATAAAGATAAAGTGGGAAAGGAAAAAGGGAGAAAAACAGTGAACAGCGAGAAAGAGAGATTATTTAACTCTCCTGAATCTACCAATCACCAATCGAATGCAACTATATGCAAGAAATAAAACTAACGGTTTTTCTGAAATACATGAAAAATCAGAAGACGTTCATTTGAAAGAATTCACCATTTTCAGTAGTTCAGAAGACGTTCAGACGATTCCAGATTACTCTAAATTTGATAAAACAAAAACCAAAAACAGATGGCAATAAAATGAAAACAGCAATAAAAAAAATTGACGATAAACGAAAGACAAACTTGTGATGACGAACTTAACATGGCTAAAAGACAAAGGAAAAGTAATGTGTCTGTCGGGGAGAACTTCCGCTAAAGAGGAAATGGCAAATTCTGCGGCTTTTTCTCTTCCTGAATAATGTCTGCCAGGTTCGGCACATCACTTGTTTGGACCAGAAATATTGCGAACGCCAAAGCAAACTGTTCAGATTTAATTTATGTTTCGTTTGGTCAAATGAACTGGGCGTGATTAACGTAGAGATCAATGAACAAATTGATCAGTCTGACAAAAGAAATCGATTATTTCGCTGGACCCGAAGCTGCTTGTTAGCATGGCACATTTTAAACGTAAGAGACATAATCAATACAAAAATAAATTTATATACCAGAGGAGGCTGAAAGTTCTCAGCCACGCCAAGAAGGATAAAAAAAAAACTTCTGAGGTTAGTTCATTCTGCCAGAAGAAACTAGGCCAAAAAAATAAATTTTCAGGTTCCCCATCCATAAATATAACTGTAGCATATTTCTGACAAAAAACATCTTTATATATCTTAAATTTTCGAAATTTTTATATGAGCCTGTATGCGCGCATGTTTACAAATATATATCATATACTCGCTTGGAAAAACCTCGGATAGCTCGACTTGCAGTAGAACAAATCGGTACCCGAGAAAAAATGGGGAATAAAAAAAAAAGAAAAGAACCAAGAACATTAAAACAAGAAAAAAAAACCAAACAAGTAAAAACAATCTTCAAGACATTTTTAAACTCCAAGTCCAAAGCCAGAAAAAAAAAACCAAAACAAGTAACAAGACAACTACATAAAGTGCTCATTACACTAAGTAGAGCAAAACCTAAGAAAATCCTAAGGAGCCAGAAAAGTTAGCTTTACCCTGACGACCCGTTGAGAATTTTTATTCAAAAAAAATCTCCAGTATATTTTGCATATGTATGTTTGCCTGGCTCTTTAGGATTATCTTATATATATATATATATATATATATATATATATATATATATGAAGTCAACGTTGTTTTTAGTGTATACCCATACTTATCAGTTACAAAGGTGTTTGCAATCGTCGTGTAGAGACTCCCTCTTGATCTTTTGCGAAGCCAAACCATGATGATTATGATATATATATATATATATATATATATATATATATATATATATATATAATTCCATTTGAATCAATTACATTCACTTACATGCTAATATCCTTGGGAACGGTGTGAATCCTCTTCTTCTCCCTCCAGTTATGGGTAAATAGGAAAGGTTGGGTTCTAAATCCTTGGATGGCAACTGGTCTAGGAAAAGGACAACTCTGAATTCAAAACCTGCGGAGGGTCGTTTGGGGACCTTGTGGCACGTAGTGCACCAGGTCTCTGTATTCTGCCCTTCAAAAAGTGTGCATGTTCCTACACGAAACCTTCACCACTATAATCAAATCTCATGTGCTGTTGTCGGGCTGTCGATTTCCTGGGAACAGAAGAATATTACCAGAAACAGATTTTTGACAAAAAAAAATATTACCAGCCATAAAAAAACTTTTGTCGGCATAAAATAACCCATTGAGGTTGATATGCCGTAAAAAAATAAACCAAACCAATCTAAACCAAAGAATACATATTCTGTCCATACGAATCTATCCTAAAAATGTTGTCGGCATTAAATATCCCATTGAGGTTGATATGCCGTAAAACAAAATAAACCAAACCAATCTAAACCAAAGAATACATATTCTATTCATACGAATCTATCCTAAAAATGTTGTCAACATGAAATATCCCATTGAGGTTGATGTGCCGTAAAACAAAATAAACCAAACCAATCTAAACTAAAGAATACATGTTCTATTCATACGAATCTATCGTAAAAATGTTGTCGGTATTAAATAACCCATTGAGGTTGATAAGATAAAATAAACCAAACCAAAACTTGGAGAATGAAACGGCGAATACTCACAGTATTAATAACCTCGGCTCTGATGTTAAAATATTACGATTTTCCTATTTGAATTTCCTGTTGACTCTTAAGTTAATTATTGAGCATAGTGACTTCTACGACAATAGATCAAATATTTGAACTTAACAATTTTAACAAAATATTGCAATAACAATCATAAATATGGATGCTGGTCGTTATTTTAAGAAGTGGGTACAAATGAAAAGATTTGACATTTTTTTTTTATTTTATTTTCCTTTCTTTCTTTCTGTCATTCATTTTCCTGAAGTTTTAACTCCATATTTTAAATGTCCCATTTCTATACTATCAACAATTGCCAGAATATATTTTCTCTAGAACGAATTTATTTAATCTGGAATAAATTCTAAAACCAAAGCATCTGAAAGCAACGAACGATAAAACAAGAAATGTCCTTGGACCGTTTAAAAACCTTGCGATAATACGATATAGCTGACAAACGACATTATATAACGAATTAGCCCAAGACAACGACGCTGCAATAGATAAACATTTGTCCCAAGTCGAACAATAGACTGAACGATATATTTGTAAAGAACAAAAGTAAGATGAGAGCAAGTCTCGCCCAAAATAGAGCGAACATCATTCAATGTTACCATAAAACTGTGTCCGTTATCCCGTTCTCGACTGTAAAATACCAATTTACAAAACTCCTATTCTCGGATGACCGTATTTTAAAACGACTGGGCTATAAATATACAATAAACATTTACTTCTTTCTCTAAGTGACTATTGTCCAATTAGAAATGTTGGCAGCGTCTTCGAAGCGTGCGTCTTTGGCTCGTTGGCCAAAATGGTGACCAATTGCTGCTATCGTTCGTAATAAAAGGTCGTGTTATTCTTTAATTGTCCACACGTTGCCAAAGTGAGGCAAATGAGTGACCAAAAGTGGTTAGGCAAGGAAGAAGAAAGAAGAAGAAATAATCTGAAAAAGTGATAGGTTGAACACACACACACACACACACACACACACACACATATATATATATATATATATATATATATATATATATATATATATAAATAAAATATTTAGAAAAATGTTTTTAAAACAAAATTACATATATATATATATATATATATATATATATATATATATATATATATATATGTGTGTGTGTGTGTGTGTGCATGTGTGTGTGCGTGTGTTTAGGCAGCAATCCTTCTTTCATGCACATTTCATTAAATATGATGGACACGGTGCTTTTGTTTAGTTTTTTATACTACTTCTCATGTGATCTAATATTTCTTTTCTTTTCAGATGATAAATTATATAAAAACTGTCCGAATCTTTTTTTTTAACCATTAAGGAATTGTATTGCTGATCACTCAAAATTCGTAAATAATAATATAGGCCACACTACAACATGTTTGACACGCAGACTAACTCTACACCTTTCTAACCATAGCTCAATTTGATCTCATTTAAATATTCATGGAGACCTACCGGACGCTAATCGTCACATATTTGTTGACAACACTAATATAATAATATCATCCACATGCAAAAAAAGCCTTATTAATAAAAACAATACTTAATAATATGAACTATGAACATGGACACAATATATTGACCGTGTTTTGAAAAATGAAAACATTTCATAAAACATACATACAACAAACTATTATTTAACAATTAAAATATTTAATCCTAAATGTATAGCCGAAAGCGCTCAGATAAAAAGAACATTCGGACAGATTTTATATAATTTATCATCTGAAAACAAAAAAAAATTATTAGATCGCATGAGAAATTGCATAAAAAAATAAATAAAAGTACCTTGTCTGTCGTACTCAATGAAATGTGCATGCATGCATATATATATATATATATATATATATATATATATATATATATATATATAACAATAATCCCAAATTACCTCATGTGGGCATTGTCTATTTCAAACCGGCACAAACTTATGCCAGTCTTCTTCAGCCCTAGACTGACTGTCTCTGAACTAGGGATTTTGAATTTTACTTAGGTAGTAGTCGGGGCGAAGGTACAGGTCCATTCAAAGGAGTGCCTCGTTTAGATCAGATGCCTGGTTTAGGGACAAGACGAGGGTATGAGATCCCTCTCTAAAGAGAGATGCGCTGGAATGGAAGTTTATTTATGACCAAATCCTTTAGTTGTATGTAAATTAATTTAGGTTCGTGCTAGCGGATACCAAACTATACAAACAATGTATATGAATCCAAAACTCCTGATTCCTAAGGTTGTGCCATTTTGAAATAGATTATATCCACATGAGGCAATTTTGAATTTTTGCTGTATTATATATATGCTCTGTTATAATAAATACCTTGAGCTCTCTCTCCCACCCTCCCTCCCTCGCTCTCTCTCTCCATGTGGATCAGTTTTAATATTTGATATTATTAGGATCCACCTGAATTATATACCAATGGATCTATTACGTGTAATATATATATAATGATGATCCGTAGTCCTTTTAAAAGGGCTGTGGCGAAATAATTTATTATATGGAACCTTAAAGTGGTCTGTTTTATTTTAATATATATATATATATATATATATATATATATATATATTGTCATCCACAGACCGACTGTTTCACTGTATGACAGCTCATCAGTGTGGTTAGAAGTCCAGTTGCCTCTAGCTAGGATCGAAACTAGACTGAATTGGCGTCAGTCGGGGTTTCTAAGACTAAGCCGCTGTCTTAGTGAAAGTGAATTTAAGCGTATTTCATTTTAAATAAATACACAATGACTGGGAGGACTCGATTTACCGAGGAGTCTTGCATTATTAGCCGTAGTATACACTGTTTACAAACCCACACCTTCTCCCCAGAGAACTCAACCGAAAGAATTTTTTCAGGAGCATATAGATTGTTATCCACAGACAGTTTCACTTTATCACTGCTCATCAATGTGGTTAGACGTCCGGTGGCTAGATGTTAAATTTCCCAGAAATAATTCCGGAGATAAGACAAATTGGTTTCAAAATGAGAATTGTAAAAAAACAATTAGCTCTTGCCGATTCGTTGCGTCTTCTGACTTTATCAAGGCCAGCAATGAAAGAGAAATATTTTGTAGCCACAGTTACATCAAATCCAAAAGTTAAAGAAAGAAACACCCCTGCGTAAGCCTCTTTCTGCATATTGGCAACTTCTTTTTTACAGAGACTTTCTTTTTTTTGTTTTCTATGTCGACAATATATTTAAATTTCCCAGAATTAATTCTGAAGATAAGACAAATTGGTTCCAATATGACATTTGGAAAAAAAAATTCTTAGTTCTTGCCGACACGTTTCGTCTTCCGACTTTATCAATGCAAGCAATGAAAGCAATATGTGTATATTTTGCCGGCATGTTATTATTGAGAAATGGTTTTTTTTTTTTTGATAATTTAATCAGGTTTTTTCTACTTATTTTCATTTGCATCCCTTCACATCATAGTGTAATTATAGAGTTTTTTTTTCTCGATCATCGCTATATATCGTATGTATATTATCTTTATTTTATGTTATTAGTTTGTCATCGGTTTTAAGCTATACATACATATATATATATGTACATATAATATGAAGCTTCGTTATTAATATTTCATTTCAAAGGACATAAGAATGTATTGTGTTGAAACTTGACTAATGCATGGAATAATAATGCAACACAAAATGTACTTAGAACAAAATGTATTGAAACAAGAAAGTGTACACAATATTTACATATAGTCTTTTGTATATTCCTGGTAAGACCGTTCCTGGAGAATGTGTTGACTGAGTCGCAGTCGGGCAGAGTCTCTGGTTGAATCTCTTGATTCCTCGCTCTCTTCCCGGTACCAACCATATTTATATGGTCGGTACTCCACTATGCAAATTAGATGGATCCTACCACAACATATTGTAAAGCAGATCGCACTCGATTCGTAGTTTAATTTAATTTCAAGAGTATTTCGTAGTTTATTGGATTTAAATGACTTCAAATTTGTAAATAGTTTTAAATCAATGTTAGGGAATATTATGGTGATTTATGTGTTTCTGTTACTTTTATTTTATATTTTATTTTTTGTGTGTACAAAAAAATATACGCCATGTTTATGGACAATTATTTTCATTTTGCTAACACATTGTTAACTGACCTGTAATAATGTTAAGAATCAGGCTAAACGATTAAAAATGTGATAGTATGGTTGAGTTTAAGTGTCCCGCCCTCTAAAAGAAAAAAGCACAAATAAAATAAAAACGGCAAATATTTAGAGTAAGACACTACACAATACTTAAGTAAAAGGGGTTAAATTTAAGAACATTAAGATTACTTTCTCGGTTATCCATTGAAACTGCTATCCACCGAAAAAAAGAAAAAATGTCAATCTCCACCGTGGGCCATTTAAAAGATAGTTCGCGCAGCGGATTGGTCATTACAAACATCCAATAGGGTGAGCGGAAAACGTGATCTTTCTTCGCCTAATTCATTAAAAGGCCAGAGTAGCTGTTATCGTTTGATTGAGACGGGGGGATCAGGGATTGAACTCCCCTGATTGGGTCGATTTGGTGATGGGGAGTATGTTGTTGAAAGATCCGAAACTCCCTGTTGAACCAAGTCATATGACATCACTGACACCCCCCTCGGGCGCCTACTTAAGAGCGCATTTTTGAATTTTTCACGGATGAGCATTTTGGTGCCATTATTAAAGGAAGAGACAAAATTATTTAAATTTAAAAGTATTGAACATGAAGAACGCTTAGTTAAATGCAATTAACTCGTCTTTCATAAGTTCACTAGTAAAAAAAATAACTTTCATATGAACACAGCAATTTTGTCTTATAAAATGATGAATTCGACTATATTTATCTTAAAAAGTAACACCATGATGATGATATTGGGCTAATGTCGAAAGTACAAAGAATAAATAAATAGTATGTATCATCTAGGTAATTTTCTCTCTTCCTTTAATAGTGACACCAAAATGCTCTTCTGTGAATATGAAAAGGATCCAATTGGAAATAAGTAGACAAAACTTTTCTAAATTATTCAATGAAACATTAGATATATATATATATATATATATATATATATATATATAATTTTCGATTCTTACCCGTCGAAGTGCAGATGAAATGCACTGAAACGAAGTTACATCTTTGTATTGAATAAAATGGTTTTGTCTATATAATAAAATTATAATAAATAAATAATTATCGCTCTACTATCGGTATCGAGCCCTCATTTGGATTAATGCTGTGAACGTTGGAATTGATATATTACTTTCGTTCTCATCACATCGGATATATATATATATATATATATATATATATATATATATATATATATATATATATATATCATACAGTCTCAGTTACGGTGGACTGGTCATGTCTTGAGAATGTCTGATGACATGATAACCAAGATCTAATGTACAGCCAGTTAGATTAAGTCTACAGGAATGTAGGACGCCCATGGCTAAGATACAAAGACAAGCTGAAAAGCAACTTGTCAGCTGCCAATATACCTCATAATACCCTTGAGCCATATGCCTTGGAGCGGGTAGAATGGAGATGAACATGTTTTAGTGGACTCAGCAGTTTTCAATCTGCTTGTCAGAATCATCTTCAAGAAGCGAGAGCAAGAACTAA